ATGCTGATTTGATTCAAAATTAATGCAGATGTTTCAAATTTGGATTTCTGATACTTGTAAATGTTTTTCCTTTATTAGATAAGAATGTATTACCATTTAAATCATTAGTATTATATTGCTTTCAAAAAAGAGGTGAATAGAACTATGAGCCAGCATCTTTTACTGCATTGAAAGACTGGTGGTTCCTTTGGAAGGGTGGGAGATGTGGCTGGGAGTTTTGGAAAATATACAATCAAGATATCTCATGGCATATTAAAAGAAAACTCTTAATAGTGGTGTTGGCTTTTATTTGGATTTTTTTAAATCTCAGTTTATTCTTTGTTACTGTTACTTGATCATAAAGAAGGGCAAATATCTACTTGTCCAGTTTATCAAATCTATTTTCCTAAATATAAACAGGACTATTTAAAGAAGTATTTTTCCTACCATCTGATGCTAAGAAGATGACTTTACACAGATGCCTCCCCGCGTGACCTCTTGCTATGTCCTTAGCAGTTTGATGATGACTGAGCTTTTACGTCATGCGCTCACTCGTAACCTGTCTCTTGTGAAAATAAATGAAACTATGATTTCCCTTCACAATGTACAAGTTTAATTTTCATGTGTTGGTTCCATAAACCTGACAGACCCTTGGACTTTGTGTTACCTGATGTTTTACAGTGGATCGTGCATACTGTCTCAGGAGAATAAAAATAGGGATTTGTAAAGCTTTGAAGGCAGAGCAGTGAGTTGGGAAGAGAGCTGACATTTCTGGCCAGATAATGTAACACACTCACTTACGTTATGGCACTGTGTCTGCTACCTTAATAACCAAAACAACGGGGAAGAACAGCATCCACTACTTTCCTCTGGAAAGTGACAGCAGAAGTTGGTGGGTTGGCCCTTTTGTCCCTGGACAAAAGAACTGCCAGGTAGTATGACTGTCAGAAGACAGCTCAGGCCAGGTTCTGACCTTCTTTATATTACCTTGTTTAACTGCTCATTCTGTCAGCCAGCACACCATCAATGAAATGGGCTTTTTGTGCCTTTTATGTTACTGTTTAATTTACAAATAGTTATGGTGAATCTCTCAATGTTAAGTGGCTATTTGACTTTGGAATTTTGCATTTGAGGTGTACTGTCTATTTTTAAAAGATTTTTATTGTTAGCTGTACTGTGGGAAATGTGAGGAAACCTGAGTTTATATTTGTAAAATTCTTTGCCATCCTCTAGTCAAATATTTTTTTATTGTTTAAAACTAACTGAAGTGTTCCACCATATAATTTTTTCCTGTACCAGATGACTAAGATTTTAGAGAATTGATTATAAAATATTTTCAATACATCCAACATTGCATTTCTCATTTTTTAAGTGATTCTCTCAGAGAATCTTGGAGTGAAAGTTGACACCTCTTCTGTCCCCAGCACTTCTATTTTATTCGTTCTTGATGAGTAATTACATATCAGGAGGCCCGGGCACTAGCTTGATTTTACTGGGTCTCATTCTTTTCTCACAGAGATGTGACACTTGGTGTGCTAGAAGTCAGGTGTATGAAGGCTGTTAAAGATTGCACAGCAGCCCCATTGTTGCCACGCGTCTTCCAAATAGGTCTTCCATTCTCGTTAACTTTGCTATAGCTGAAGGCTGCTATAAAGTAGCCAGAAAGTAAGCAGTTTGAAAAAGTACAGCCATGACCAGCTCTGTTCTGGTAGGTTCCCAAGCCGTAAGATGCAGGTGCATCTTAGTGCAGCCCTTCTGTCCATTTTCTGCTTTTCTTTGCGGTGCCAGAAGCCAGCAGACTAGCCACGTGAGCCAGATCTAGAACCTTCATTAAGGTCAATGAGCTTATGTGGTTTTAAAAACATGTCTTTTTTTTTTTTTTTTCCTTATTGAAACAGCAACATTTCACTTGCGTTTTGCCTGTAGCTGTTCTTGTGTTACAGGGGTCTGCTGTTAACCGTTCAACACACTGGCCTGCGAAGCAGTTACCACTCGCCCCTTTTCTATAAGAGGGCCCACTCCTGGCTGAACTGCCGAGTCCACCAGATGTAAATCATAGTGCCTTTTACTCCTTTCTGGACATTCTTAAGACTCCTGACTTCAGGTTTTGCCTAGAGTTTGTTTCCATGTTGCTACTAAAAGCTCTTTACAGAGGAGTAGCAGCATCCCAGGTGTCTGGCTATGTCAGCCTCCTGATGTCTAAGTGACTGCTTGGAAATTTACTGTTTTGCTATTTCTTGTTCTTATGGTAAGAAAATGAAATTCAGCATTAAGCACATTAAAAGCCTGGCATACTGCTTTTTTTAAATGAGACAGGTGAGTCTGAGGGAATAGACAAGTAGTGTGGGAGTCTGAAGCCCTGGGGTCAACCACAGTGGAAGAAGAGTAGGTGGCCCCTGGAGGCAGGAATGTACCAGTCAGACCTATTTGGTTGGGTTCTTGCTACGACTATAGTGTGGGAATGGGAGGGTGGGAAGGGCAGTGACAAGGCAGGGAGTGAAGGCTTGGATTTGGTGGGGAAAGCAAGGCAGTAATGAAAGAAATTGGATGGAAAGAGCTTTCTCTTACTAGGATATGGTTTTTCAAGGGCTGTTCTTAAGTAGAATTTTCAACTATTGGGGGAATGGGGCTGGGAGGACCAAAGAAAAGTATGTTTGCTTCATCTGGTGTGATATGCGTGGCAAGGCTACTTTCCCAGTAATGGATCTCTTACTAGGTATTGCCCAGCTTGTCTTGTAGGAGCACAGGTGTAAAAAGGCATGTCAGACTTCTTAGATGTCAAACTAGTTCTGACAGCTTCCCAGTGTGGGCTGGCCATGTTCAGAGCTGTGTGGGGGAGGTTTTCTCTTCCCAGAAGTTCTGCAGTGTGCTTTGTGCTCAAGAGCAGAGCCTGGGTTCCTGCCTCTAACCCCCACTGGATCACTTCCCCAGTGTCTTGTGAACGTACAGCCACCCCTTATGTCTGCCATGGGTTAGCTCCATGGCCTCCCACCCTGGAGAATGTCCACATCTGCAGGTGCTCAAGCCACATATGTGAAATGACATCTTTGCCTAGAACCAGTGCACACCCTCTTGTAAACTTTGTCCTCTCTAAGTACCTAATACAGCGTAAAGGTTATGTGAGTAGTTGTTATACTGTGGAGGGAAATGACGACAAATCCGTGTGTGTTCAGATGCAATTTGGGTTTTTTGATCTGCATTTGGTTTCATGTCTCCTGGAAATAAGCTAGAAGTCTAGAACAGATTCCCCATGCCCTACGAGCGCCGTGGGAGCCATTATGGAGACAAATGCCTGCACCTACAGGCATCTGAAGGTGAGGGTGGAAAAATGGGGGGGGGGGCAGGTGGCCAAAACCACCCCAGATGAGACAGCAGAGGGCCCCTGGTCTTGGGCCTGCATACACAAGTCAAGAACAGACACTAGGGATGGGGAGATAGCTCAGTGGTCTAAGCGCCTGTCTGGCAAATGCAAGAACACTAGTTCAATCCCCAGTACCGCATGCCGTGCTGACCAAAACCCAGCATGGTGGCACACGCCTGTAACCCCAGTGCTGGTTGCTGGGGAGATTGAGACAGGATCACTACAAGTCCAGACTGCGTAGTGAGATCCTAAATCAATAATAATAAATTTTAAAAAGGAATAGACTAATCAGATGTGGGAGCACACACCTGTGATCCCAGGTCTCGAGAGGCTGAGGCAGGAGGACCACAAACACTGCACCACAGCCCTTGCCTGGGGGGTTCACAAGCATGAAAAATATTTTCATCTTCAAAATGGTAGTAAGCTTTGAGAGTGAGGACAAGAGTCTGACTACAGACCCAGTTGGCCTTTGCATTTTCTGCAGCGCCTAGTACGGGAGGGTACATGTAGGTCTGGAGCTGCTGTGCCTTTATGTAGAAAGCCCTGGCCTATCTTTTCTCCACCTGTGCTACAAAATGAGCAGGAGAGGCCTGGAAGCTGACTGGAGAAAAAGAAAGTGGAGGTCTACAGATGCACCATACTTCTAGCACTTTCACTCGGGCATTAGTGACATCTTCTGAGTAAATGAGGGAAGCTGACAGGTAGTGTGTTGACAGGCCACAGCATGAAGACAGCTTATGTCCACACCTTAGCCTGCCCATCAGCCCCAGCCAGTAAAGTGCCTGTGTGTCTCATGCGCTGGCAGCGCAGCAGACTCCTCAGGTGGTTCTCAAAACCAGGAAGCTGGCTGAGGCCAGCGACAGCCTAGACAACAACACCCGGTGGGCTGACAGTAAGTGTAGCCAGGCCTCAGTAGAGGTTTGTCACACATGACCATAGGCAAGAAGAGATACATGATGGTAGAGAACACATGATGTTGCCTTTGAGCTCATCCACGTCTGCAATCAAGTGCCAGTCTGCTGGAGTCCACCAGCATGGGTGACGTGAACCCAGGCCAAAGCTGTGTAAGGTAGGTGGCTGGTACTCCCAGACCCATAGAATAATTCTAGCTAATGGCCATTCTGATGCACACTGGCTTCATTTTCAGTGGCAGTAGAAAATCTTGTCACTGATGACACTGACAGCATGAGCATGAAGCCCAGTGAGTCACTTGCCATGAAGTAGCAGAGCCTGAGGGTGCTCTGATTCTCTTCAAGGATGACTTGTGAGTGTGCATGTAAAAACCAAGTGGGCCAGGACAGAGCCCAGAACAGTCCGGGCCATGTAGAAAAAGGCAACACCCAGGGGTGGGCTCACACAACATCTCACCACTGCAAACACCAGCAACAGAACCAGGTCATGGGGAGGCAAAAGGTTGTGTGCCTTGTTCTTAAGTGCCTTGTTCTTGTAGCTAAGCCCAGAGGGCTTCAATACGCAGAGGTCAGAATGAAGAAAAGAGCTGGGGAGATGGCTCAGTGGAATAAGCGCTTCCCTGGCAAGCGCAAGGGCCTGAGTTCAATCCCCAGTTTTGCCAAAAAAAAAAAAAAAAAGAATGTAGAAAAGATAGACAGCTAAGCATGTGTAGAGGGTCAGGAACAGGGGAACCGGAAGTGGCAGAGTCCCTGGAGGGAGAGCTGTGCAGAGCCAGGTGCGCTGCTTGCTGTAGTGGGGTCTGGCTGCTTTGCTGGGCAGTCCTTCCAGGGGCTCTTTGATTCATGTAGCACTCCAGGGGATTGAGCATAATTCTTGTTGACTATCTCAACAACTTCATCAGAATCAGAGCTGTGGTTTGAAAACCACCCAAGGAAGCTAGAGTTGTTCCTAGGTCTCCTCAATGAAGGCCTGGAGATGGAGAGATGAGAGCCCCTGGACGGAGCAGGAGAAATCGCCTAACCAGAAGGACACCCACTGCCTTGAAGAGCACCTTATTTATGTCCAAAGTAGGATTTGATTTTATAGTCTAACCTGGCAAGGCCAAGCTTTTCCACTTCCAAGCTGTTCTGATGGTTCTGTGTCTCGAGAAAGTGATGGCTGATGTGCTTTAGAGAGCTTGTCCCTGGAGGCCCTGCGTATGTTGGCTGAGGCGGTTCCTGTGCTGGAGGTAATGTCATCGAAGCTGCCCCACTTCGCAGGCCAGCCTGAGGTGGGGATGGTTTGCCTGGCCACAGGCTCCAAGGTAGACTGGCATGCCTTGGGTGGGCCTAGTGGTGACCCACCTGGGGACCCCCACACAGGCTGGGCAGAGCACAAGGCAACAGTGCAGGGAGAGGCAGACGGCCTTGTCCCCAAGGTGCAGGTACAGCATGACTGCAGTGGTTTACAGCTCACACTTCCCCATGCTAGCATGTACCAGTGCTGCCTGTCCTCCCAGGCCACTGGCACTATGAAAGGTCCAGGCTCCTCGGGGCAGCATCTGAGCAGCAAGGCTCTGATGCAGGCTTTGCCCTGGCTTTTGGGGAGGGAGGACTTTCCACCTCTGCTTGGGAACATGATGGCTGCAAGATGGCTTTGAAGCCATGCTGCGACTCAGCGGCTCCTGGCATCTGCCATCGGCAACACATACCTCTCCATGGCAACTGCCAGCTTCACAACCTTATACCCTTACTCATTTTTAACCTACCCTTCCCATTCCTGGGACGCAGTATCTGTCACCTGCAACTTCAAGTAGAGGCTTACTTGGCTCGCAGATTTCAGAGTTCAGTCCAAGACTGGCCAATTCCAAGGCAGAAATGGTGTGAGGGAAGGGCCTGGTGGAGGATAGCTGCTTGACCCATGCCAACCAGATACAGCAAGCAAGATCCAGAGGAAAATATATAGCTGCACAGGCAGCCCCAGCGATGCCCTCCTCCTGGCAGGCCCCGCCTCCTAAGCACATCCAACTCATCCAAGGATTTATCCACTGATAAGCACTATAACGCCCTGACCCTCCCCAAAATCCCACCTTCCAGAAGTTCCACCTGTGAACACATAAGACCTGGGGGTCATTTTTAGCTCTAAGTCATAACACTGTTATAACTTAAGATGGTTTTGAGTTGGGTTTTTTCCCCCCAACATCTTGTGATGGACATTAACAGCCTTTCCATTCTTATTTCAAGTTTGCAGAAAAGAAGAACTGTGCAAAGGGCTCCCAAACACTTCTTCACCCCCTCATCTGTAGACCCTTTTACATCCTGCAGTTGTCCCAGTGAGGTTCTCCATAGCAGGCAGGGCCAACCCAGTTAACATGCTTCATGATGCTACATTTAGTTCATCTTCTTCAGTCCAAACACGTCACCATCATTAATCACATTACTATTTTTAATGTCAAAGGACAGTTGCTATAGAATGCCACTTAAGTCATGCCTGCTGTTTCCTTATCCCTCTACTAAGGATGTATGTTTTGTTTTTGCCTTTTTGAGACAGGGTCTCACTGTGCAGTTTAGTCTGGCCTTGTACTCACTTTGTAGCCCAGGCTGGTCTCAAACTCACAACAGTCCTCTTGCTTCAGCCTCCTGAGTTCTGGGATTACAGGCATGTGCCACCATGCCTGGCTTAGTACATATATTTTTGGAAGAAATATTAAAAGCACTTCTTGTACTCTCACTGTCCCATGTAGCACAGGGTATCATTTTTCCAAACACTGATGATACTGATTTTGGCTAAAGAAGGTGGT